TTAATGCCAATAAAGCAGCAGCAAATAAATTCATGGAATTTGGGAACAGCTCGAAGTCTGTTATTGTGTGTCTCCTTTTTATGGGACTTGACTGAAAAGAAGAAAAATGTCTTGAGTTGCAGCTGACAAGGCTCAGGCTTTAATCTTCTAGGAAGGCAGAGAGGAAGGAACTCACGTTGTCAGAGTGTCTGCTGTGAGCCAGACGCCCTATATAGATGGCATCCTCTTTAACCCTCACAGCTCTGAGTGGTAAGTAGCATCATTCCCCAGCTGGGAAAGCCGGCTCAGGAAGGTTAAGTATTTGGCCAGCGTGGCAGAGGGAGTAGTGACTTGGCTGTGCTGGAGTTCAAACCCAGGTCTGTCTGCCTCTAAACCTCATGACCTTCCTTCTCATTTCCTGAAGCAAAATGGTGGAGAATGTAGTGTGAGCACTGGCAGTTGTGGGAGGCTGGGTGTGAGGCCCACAGCCCACGTCCAGCCTCCCACCATCTTTAGTTCAACTCACCACCTCTGTTGACATTGGCCTCAAGCAAATTGCTTTAGTCTGAGTGACTTCAGTTGCCTCCTCGGGAAAAGTGAACACAACTACATTCCTGGCCGTGTCTCAGGGATGGTGCAAGGAACAATCAATCACGAGCATGATTGAAATCCTAGGAAAGTTCTAGAATGTTTAGGCAGGGCAATGCAGACAGGTTCTGTTCCCCAGGATTTTTTTCTCTTTCTTTCTGAAGATGTATCTTCACACACATGTTCTTCATCAGATTATTTGTCAGAGGTCTGTTATGTGATGAGCACTAAGTTAGATGCTGAGGACACTGTGGTGAACGCAACAGACTGGGTCCCTCCCTCCTTGAAGTTTTAATCTGATGAAGATGTATAAATAAGTAAACAAGCAAATAAATATATAATCCAAAGTCTGGTTAAAGGCCAAGAAGAAAGTACAGAATACTGGGAGAGAGAATAAGGCGGCCCCGTACTGTGTCTGCTTAGAAAATCCCTGCAACACTCCCTAGGAAATGACTGGCCGTGATTACCTCTGGGGAAAACACAGCGTGGCCAGAGCATGGGAACAAGTGTTACTTCTCACTGTGCTTTTTCTCTACTCTTTGAATTTCTTTTACCATAATTATGTATCATTTCTATAATTAAAAAATACTAGTTATGCAGAAAATTGGTGTCTGATAAATCATGAACTCAGTAAGCCTTTTTTCTTCATTGTCTAAAAGGAACTGTGAAAAGGTTGGTGCAGCCCTGTGTTAGGTATATTTGTGCAGTCAAATGAAAGCAGAGAACATCGCTCTTTCCATTTGGGAGAAAATGAGAAAAGATGAGCTGACTTAGCTGCCCTCTTGGGTCCGGCCCTCCTTCCACGAGAATGAGCTGGGTCGTTGACTTCTAAACCCCAAGAGAAACACGTCCATCTGCCAGGAAGTTATCACAGTCAATCTGGTTACCTTTGAGAAATGGCAGCTAATAAATGACTTTTAATTAAAGAGGCAGTATCAAGAGGACTAAAATCTATGATTCTAAACCTGCGGAAGTTAAAATGAGGCAAGGGAAGAATAGAAAAGCTGTAAAACCAGGTGAGAAACAAGAGTGTGGCCCATTAACAAAAATCAATGGTGAGAAAACAAAACAAGAATTTTAGAAGTGAAATTAGCAGACAGCTGCAAAAAGAAAAGGTACCAGATAGGCTTCTCTCAGCATTGAGTTGGGAAGTATAAGATTTTTTTTTAAGCCAGTAATTGCAATAGGGACACGTTTTCTCTTCCTGTCATTGAATAAAGAGGGTTGGCTGTTAAATTAAAAGGTTTGGCTGGCTAAAAACCACATCAGAGGGGAAAATATCTATGTCATACAAAATGTCGTAGTCCCAGAGGTACAAATGGTGTAATTGTTCCGCGTATCTATATAGCTCTTTTCTCAGAGGAGGGCAAAGCAACTTCTTTCTTGGAACTTCTAGAGAAACTATCTGGCATCGTGGTTCTCTTTCTCATTCATCTTTGTCCCTCTCATTTGGGCTTCAAATCTGAGGTTTCCAAGCTGTGACTAGATTTCAGCAACTACCAACCTCCTAGATAATCATACTGCTTTAAAAAGGGTGGGCGCCTCTCTGAGGTCTCAGACTCGGAAGTTTCTCTTCTATAAAACACTTTCAAGTCAGTGCATTGTTGTTCTGATTGTTTAATTTGCCAAATAAATACAGTGTAATTATTTGAAAGTGGATTTGTTTATGGCTTGGAACCTTCTGTGCCCATCATTAGAATACAGAACTCCAGTTTGTTCTTTATCCAAATGTGGATCTTGTAGAGTTATTACTATTATTGGTATTTAGAAGTAGTCGTAGCAATAGTCATGGTTTCAGTAGAACAAGAAAGTTTTTGATTTAAATTTGGTATGTTTGACTGACATTATTTTGCGAACAGAATTAATGTCAAAAGCTATATAATTGGGGCAACTAACTGTCCTGGTTTGCAGGGGCCTGAGGTGGTTCCTGGAATGTGGGACTTCCCGTTTGAAAACGGGACAGTCTTGGGCAAGCCAGAAGAAGTTGATCACCCTGTTAATGCTAAGTGACATGCTTAATTCTCTCCCCCCCGCAAAAACAAACAAACAAAAAACCCACTAAGAAGTAGGCATTATCCCCGCTTTTGGATAAGGAAACTGAGATTCAGAGGTTAAAGCAATGTCTCATGCAGCTAACTAATGGCAAAGCCTCGTGCCAAATCCGGGTCTGCCTGGCCCCGAAGCTTGTCCTCTGAACATCTCCATTGTCAGGCTTTTGCTACACAGATTTAAGAGATTGCCCCACTATACTTGAGATGCAAACCATACATATTCTGTGGCTGTTCTGGGAATGACTATTTTGTAGCCTCTGATTCTTAAACAGGCTGAAAAATTAAGAATCATCCAACTATTGAATGTTTGCTTGAATTCTTAAGCTTATGAAGGCAGACTGAACCTTAGAGCAGAGCACTTTCTGTGTAGAATCTTTAATAACTTTTTGTGAAATCTTGCCAATAACTCTAAAGAAAAGCAGTTATGCAGTTCAGAAAGTTTACATTTCCATTCTGGAAAGCTCTCTTACTGCCCACTGGTTTGAGGGGAATGCTGCCCTCAACTTGGCTCATTTCAAATAAGGCCTCTGTGTCTCTATTCCATGTCCCAGTCCTCGAAGCTTTTATGCAATAACACCCGAAATGGAAATCAGGTGGAATTAGCCTCATAATTGCCACCATTTTCTTTCGGAAACAAAATTGGTTGTGGGACTTTGTGAGTTCTCTGCTTTTAGGAGGAAATAAACCCATAAAAGTCACTGCTAGGCCCTAGTGCCGGTTCAGGCCTGGAGGAGCTGAGCGTTAAGACTAAGTCCTTAGACAGCATTGACTTCTGATTTTTTTTTTTTTTTTCAGTAACCGGGCCTCTCGCTGTTGTGGCCTCTCCCGTTGCGGAGCACAGCCTCCGGACACGCAGGCTCAGCGACCATGGCTCACAGGCCCAGCCGCTCCACGGCATGTGGGATCTTCCCAGACCAAGGCACGAACCCATGTCCCCTGCATCGGCAGGCGGACTCTCAACCACTGCGCCACCAGGGAAGCCCTGGTTTTGTTTTTAGTGGCTTCACTACCTTCCATCTGGTCATCTTTAATATTTAATATTTTGTCCCTTTTTCTAGCCAATCAGCTATATTAAGTCAAATACTAGAAACTGTATTTCCCTAAATCTTTTTGCACCTAGAAAAGGGCTTCTGCCTCAAATGTAATGATACAGATAATAACTAATGTCCTTTGATATGCAAAGCCAACTTTATACCTAATTGTGCATCATGGGCTGCTCAGGACTATATGTCATTTTCTAAAATGGACTTAAAACAAATGGGATAAGTATGTGTGGTAGGGTGATAAGTGGAGGAAAATATGGAATTAAATTTTAGAGAAACTGGAATTAAAGAAATATCGCTGTTTCTGCTGTTCAGTAGAAAAGATTTTATAGAGGAGGTGGGCTTTCGGAAGCAATGGAATGTAAAATTTTTGAGAGATTTGGTGTTCCAGACATGGTATGTGGATTGGGAAACAGGATAGTTTAAAACAATAGGCCTTGTGTGTTTTCGCTGGAAGGCAGAGGCAGATTTACCATGAAGCTAATGACACTCAAGCCTCAGAGCTCCATTTAATTTTACATTTGAAATCTGACCTTCTCTTAAAAAGAGTCCCTAGGGCTTCCCTGGTGGCGCAGTGGTTGAGAGTCCGCCTGCCGATGCAGGGGACACGGGTTCGTGCCCCGGTCCGGGAAGATCCCGCATGCTGCGGAGCGGCTGGGCCCGTGAGCCATGGCCGCTGAGCCTGCGCGTCCGGAGCCTGTGCTCCGCAACGGGAGAGGCCACAACAGTGAGAGGCCCGCGTACCGCAAAAAAAAAAAAGAAATGCATGGTGTTTATTCGTTCATTCATCCATTTATTCAACCAAAGTTAAATGGAGGGCCTCTTGGGTCTCAGACTGTGCTAGGCACTGGGAACTTGAAGAGGAAAGCAATGAAATCCTATCTCATGAAATCAATGGATAAGGCTAAAGTTGCATATAGTCAAAATGATCCTTAAACATCCCTCAAATGACCCATAGAGTATTATCTTAGGTCAGGGTCCCTGGAAGCAGAGCCTGAGATGAGGATTCTTGTGCAAGTAAGTGAGTGAAAGCATAGTCTCAGGTGAAAGAAACCCTTAAGGTAGTGGGAAACAGGGTAGGGCAGAGTTCAGCAAATATGTGAGCTCAACTGAACAGCTGTAGTGTAGCCTCAGCCTGATCCCAAAGGGAACTCCAGAGCACGAATGGCATCATAGATTTATACCCCCTTGAGGCCAAAGGACCCGCTTTTATATTCCCAATAGTCAGGCATTGGCTTTAGGCTGTCTCTGGAAATTAGGGTATAACCTCTTTGGTATTTCTGGGTGAGGTGACTCTGATCAGATGAGGGCAAGTCTCAAAAGAAGGGTGCAGGTCGCCGCCGCTGCCACCAGAGAGGAGCATGTCTGCAACTCGAGCCAAGAAAGTGAAGATGGCCACCAAATCATGCCCCGAGTGCGACCAACAGGTTCCTGTTGCATGTAAATCATGTCCCTGTGGTTACATATTTATTAGCAGAAAACTTTTAAATGCAAAACACCCAGAAAAATCACCATCTTCTACAGAAAACAAGCATGAGGCCAAGAGGAGGCGAACAGAGAGAGTTAGGCGAGAGAAGATAAATTCTACAGTAAATAAGGATTTAGAAAACAGAAAGAGGTCTCGAAGTAACAGCCATTCAGATCATATCAGACGAGGAAGAGGAAGACCTAAAAGTGCATCTGCCAAAAAACATGAGGAAGAAAGAGAGAAACAGGAAAAGGAAATTGACATCTATGCTAACCTCTCTGATGAGAAGGCTTTCGTGTTTTCAGTCGCCTTGGCAGAAATAAATAGAAAAATTATTAATCAAAGACTTATTCTCTGATATTTGTCTGCAAAGTGTGTTGCAACTTTCTTCAGGATTACATCAGCAAATTCTCAAACAGTTATGAACTCCCAGGAGCATTCTGACTGCATCAATAAGGGCCATTGATTGTTTTTTTTTCTTTATCATTTAGCCTGTGGCACACTTTGGGAGCAAAGCTGCAGGCTTGGACTGTTCTGGGATTTCCTTGTTTACCAAGGAGTATTGTCAGTGTTTTGTGTTTGGGATATAGTGTATTAACCCCCACCCCCCACTGAAAAAAAGAAAAAAGGCTGGATGGCTTTTACAAGATTAAGGGGTAGGGTTGGGAGTGGAAGTGAGGAAACTAGAGAAATAAAATGATAGTTTGCAGGTTTGCCACCAGAGATGCAATATTTTAAATACTTTGAGAAAGAGTGACTTTTAAAAATATATATTTCAGATTTTCAGCACTAACATTGCATATTTGCAGTTCATTTAGTAAATTGGCAATTGATATTTTATTGAATGGGGAATTAATAATATAGACTGTAAATTTTGTCTTAAATTGATTTTTTTCTTGGCCTTTATTTTTATAACTTAAGGTATGAGTTATATTTTAGAAGCTACTTTCTAGTTTGGAAGTTTGGGTGCTATATGAAGAAAAACATTTAAGGATATATCATACTTCAGATATTAAACACCTTGTTTTCTTGAATGTAATTTATTTATTAATTAAAAAAAATACTTTTTTGCTCTCAAGATGGTGCCTGTTAACCTAAACATAAAATATATTTATTACATGCAAAATATTTCTTAGATAGCCACTTTGAAGCAGTAATGTTCTTTCTGAATGGATGTTCATTTATACATCCTGAAAATTATTTAAATTGTTACTTAACCTCACTCTGGAGGAAAAAAATAAACCTTAATATTGAAACTAATAGAAAAAAAAAAAAAAAAGAAGGGTGCAGCTCTGAGGGATTAGCGGCCAACACAAAGCAGCTGAGGGTTGGATGCACCAGCCAAGTAAACGGAATCTCAAAGGGGCATCAGCAGCGGCTACTACACAGGATACATGTGCCCTGTTAAAAACCTGCATATCATTTGCTAATAAATACAACAGCGCAATTTATTTTTCTCCAGTGGTGTGATAGACCACCATTTCTTGGGATGCACTGCAGATGAAGTATGGATACTTGGCTTATGTGCAGGGACCATGTTGTATGAAAAATCTGCATCTATCAGCACTAGACTCATATCCAGAATGGGGAGATGCTCACACTGTGGGAGATGCTCCCACAGATCTGAGACTGACTGCTTTCCAGGAAGCTGACTATGAGATGTCATTATATGAGATGTTCTTTGGGAAGTGCCCTGTCAACACTGCGGGAGGGAGGGCCGGAAGCAGGAGCGGGCAGAGGGAGAAGTGGAGCCACAATGCAGGACTGCCCACAGCCGCGGCTGACCCCACCCCACGGGAAGCTCTGAAGCTAAATGGCAGGTCAGAGCTGTCCTGCTTTGGGTCAGATGGCCAGGCGTTTATACCCCTGCACTGGGCCACCTAGGAAGGGAAGGCCCTGGGTGAGGGGTTTTTCTGCAGCTGAGGCTGCCCTGAAGGGACAGCTGGAGGCTATTTGCCTGCTGCACTCCCTGCAGCTGGGCAGAGGGCCTTCCTGGAGTGGGGTTGGGGGCACACATCTCTGTCCATCCCCGACGGAGACAACTCGTGAGGCCAGTCTCGGGCTCACTCCGAGCACATATCGCTGAATGGAACGGGCACAGGATGACCCCCCAGTGGTCCAGCTGTCTTCTCTTGAGGGGGAATGGGAGGATTGGCACAAATGCTTGAAGAACCTGCAATTTAATCAATACTTTAGTATTTAATATAGATTCTGGACTCTCCTCACTTATAAGTGGATAATCTACAGATTTAGAGAACAAACTAGCGGTTACCAGTGGGGAGAGGTAAGGAGGGAGGGGCAATATAAGGTTGGGGGAAAAAAGGGTTATTATGGGATTACATGAAATCATGTATGTGAAACTTCTGAAAATTGCAAGGCACCATGGAATTTAAAGAATCTTTCATTCAATAAAAAAATTGAAATAAGAAATGGATAATATATCCTACTTTTTACTTATTATACTTGTCAAGTCTTTTTTTCCCCTCATTTTTAGTTAATGACAGGCATTGTGCTAAGTACCTTACATTCATTACCTTAGGTAATCCTTATAATAACATGATGCGTTAGGTACTATTATTATCCTCCATCTTATGGATGAGGAAACTCATCTAAGGGTTAGAGAGGTTAGAAAAAACTTGCCCACGGTGAAATTATATAGTCAGTGTTCAAACCAAAGTCTGTCTGACTCCAAAGCTCAAACCCTTAGCTGCTCTACCAAAGCCAGCTGTGAAACCTCTCACATTGCCCTTTTTTTTAATAGATTTTTATTGGAGTATAACTGCTTCACAATACTGTGTTAGTTTCTGTTGCACAACAAAGCAAACCAACCGTATGCATACACATGTCCCCATATCCCCTCCCTCTTGAGCCTCCCTCCCACCCTCCCTCTCCCACTCCTCTAGGTGGTCACAAAGCACCAAGCTGATCTCCCTGTGCTATGCTGCTACTTCCCACTAGCTATCTATTTTACATTCCATAGTGTATATATGTCGATGCTACTCTCACTTCACCCCAGCTTCGCCCTCCCACCCCATGTCCTCAAGTCCATTTTCTATGTCTACCTCTTTATTCCTGATAAAGAAGATGTGGCACATATATACAATAGAATATTACTCAGCCATAAAAAGAAACGAAATTGAGTTATTTGTAGTGAGGTGGATGGACCTAGAGTCTGTCATACAGAGTTAAGTACGTCAGAAAGAGAAAAACAAATACCGTATGCTGACTCATATATATGGAATCACATTGCCCTTTGATGGACCTTTGCCAATTCATTCATCCATTCATTCAACGGTGCTTTACCGAGCATTTCTATGCCAAGCTCTGCTCTAGGTTGGTATTAGAGATTCAACAGAGCAGCCTATGAAAAGGAGTATATGTGCATGTGTCCTTGTGGGTCATTCTTCCTGCATCTGTGTGTGTGTGTGTGTGTGTGTGTGTAACAACTTCAAGAGATTTATGCAAATGTCAGGACCTTTGGATATTTCCTAGTAACTCAATTCACTGTGTTTAAACTTTTTAACAGGCTAAAAGAGACACTAAGCGGACGTCTGGAAAAGAAGTCACCAGTAACGTCGCAGACAGCATCCGACAGGTGGACAGAAGTCGAAGAATCACAAAGAACTGCGTCAACTAGCAGAGTGTTCAGCCAGTTGAAGGGCAGAGGGACTTCTCTGGTGCCCTTCACATCCTGGACCCCATCACGGAACCTTGAAGACGTGGGTAGCCCTTGCCGTGTGGGAACGCTGCTGAGTGCCTCGGGAGACTGTCTTAGCCTGTTGGGACGTTCTCAGCCTCCTATTTATCTCGTAAATGCATTGGCAGAGTACTCCCACAGGGTAATAAACTGCAAATGTATGTTCAGTTTGCCCCTTGCAACTGCTGCAGTGTGGTCTGATGGAAAAGTGGCGAGCAAAAGCACAGGCCAGTTTAGGAAACAGAAAAGTAGAAGGGGTAGGTTCCTGGCTGAAAGAGGCACAGTCGGTTCTGAGCTCTCCTGGCCATGGTCGTGCGCACTGTTTCAGGCAAGCTTATTCTTTCATTCTTCCTTTTTGAAATACCACCATCTCAAAACTTACTGTGTTCACTTAAACGTTGGCTTTCACCCAACTCTAAACCCACATGTATGAGGAATCAAGAAACAGGAAAACTCTCTGTTACCCTTGTTTCCTTAGCTCAGGATGAGGTGGATTCAGATCCAATTTTACACAAACTAACCCCACCAACACCCATGGTATGTCCCAGGGAGGGCCTCTGTGATACAGTCACACCCATTTCTCTCTCATCTGCTTTCAGCATCCTTCCGGGCCAGGGTCCACGTCAGCCTCTGAACCATAGTATCATGGTAGTGGTCACCTCGGAGCCCTCAGGGTTCAGCAGACATTGCATTTTTCCAGCTTTCCACTTCCCTTTGCTTGTGTTCTTGAGTGTTTTTTCTCTCCAATAAGGCCATTTGCAGTTGTTAATCAAAGACCAGGCTCACAAGAGGGAGAAAATCTGGAAGATGTTGGCTTCCCTTTGGCCTCTCTGCACAGCCTGGGACTGTGTCATTTGGTATCTGCAAAGGAATTGCTTTAAGATGTCAGTAACTAGTTGGTGTGCGTTCACATGGACATTAGATCCACATGCACTGTGTTAGAAATCTGTAGCTGAGGCAGTAAAAAAAACAAAATTGGTAGGAATAAAATTTTCTAGCATTTCTTTAAACATGTTAAGGTGGAAGTATTTTCCTCCGAAGTAATGTAGCATGATTTTTAAAGGACTGTCAACATGCCTGGAATTAGGAAAGGTAGGACTAAAGTTGTACCGAATGATACCAATAAACTCCATGTTTAGCAGAAATAGGTAGTCTGATGGTGTGTATTTATCTATCATAGTCCAGAGAAGGTTAAAAATTCAGATACTTGGCCTCTTTACCTGCCAACTCTGTTATTCCTCACACACAAGTGGGCAATGTCCGTCCCTTCCTTCCTTCCTTCCTTCCTTCCTTCCTTCCTTCCTTCCATGGATTGTATATTTATTCAGTAAACATTAAATGCCAACCCTGTGTCAGGCACCGTGCAGATGCTGAGAGATCTGGAGTCTGGCCAGTCACGGTTGTATATCCTGAATTTGACAGTGAACTTAATCACTAGGGGCCTGGCTGGGGTAGGGGTAGGTAGACGCTGGGGTATAGTGTATGGTGTGAATTGCTCTGCAGTGTAATCTTAATTTTACAGCCAGCATAGGTTTCTGTCCTAAACTCCAGATATGGGCATTCTCCTAATCACTGTCCAGGCCTTTACTGTGCACAAAACTACACTGTCCCAAACCTTTGTCATTTTGTGATTCTTTGAGAAAGGGCTTTTAGGGAGCTTCATGTTCCGAAACTTCTAAATATAATAATAAAGCAAAAAGCAAAACCTGTGACTTCCATGACCCCTCTGGTATGATTCAGCAGGAGCCACCCACTGCCAAAGTTTGGCATTGATCCTGCAAGTTCAAGGGCTTGCTGTCCCAGGGCACCTGCACTGTGTTTTTGTGCAGTGTTTCTTCACCAGTCACTAGCTAACCTCGTTCCTCTTTGCAACTTTGTTTTTGCATCACTTAACTGCAGCTCCTTGTTTGGAATTTATCAACTTGAGAGGGTGTCTCTGTCTTACATAGAAACAGTTTCTCACTTCTGGAGGAGAGGAGAATGAAGGGCATACATGATCTTCCCCTCTCCAGAACAATCTGGATTTCACCAAGACCAGAAGTTAAACCATGTTACTGGAAATTCATCTGGCAACTTCTTCATGTGTGTATGATACAGGAACTGATTCTTACCGTCCTATTAGCATAACACTTTCTATTGCAAAGTTTGTGTCAGTAAAGTCATCCATTTCAAACACATGGACAGTTACAGAGAATCTTTACTGGAATGTTAAATGTGTGTGTAGAGCTGGTTAGATTTTTTGCTTCTTTCAAACAAAGGGCTTTTAAGTTAAGTGATACCTGTGAATCCTCCAAAAAGCCTTGTGAAATAGGTAAGGGGAACACAATTAGCCCCCATTTACAGTTTAAAAAGTATGTATGGTCCACGCATCCAGTAAGGGCGGAGGAGGGATTCAAGTGAGGGAAGTTTGCTGGCACATCCAGTGCTTTTTCTACTGTACAATATGAGGCCTTTCCCAGCAGGAAGGTCTGGCGTGGCTGGGAGATTCATTTGGAGGGGAATTGCCACGGAGGTGAGATTAAGCTGGGCACAAATCTAAGAGGGTGACAACAGTGACAAGAGAGGGCTGGTGAGCTCCTGGGGCATTTGGGTTTGGCCAGGCTCCCTTCTCCCTCCAGAGAGGGTGACCCTGACCTGGTGTGAGAGGCATCTTCGGTGAAGGTCAGAAAGAGGAGAGACATTAGGATTCAGAGGAGATTGAAATTGACCCCCTCAGAAGAGCTGCTAAGAGATGGAAGCCAGGGCAGCCACTTCTGCCAACACCCGAGCCCTCTGGGTGCCCAGGTGAAGGGCTGGACCTCCTCATCCTTTCCCGGCTGTCACCCCACCCCAGTGATCCCACCCGACCCCCACCTCCCAGGCCCCCTGAACACGCTGCTGCTTCCACTCCCTGTCTAAGCCCTGCTGTTTACGACCCTCACCAGCCCTGCTCACTGGCTGCCCCACATGCCACAGAAATGTATCCCATCCTTATTTGCTCCCCTACATAGGGTTCACAAAACTGTCAGCTCTGCTGAACCAGATGGCAGGCGTGCTTTGTTTGGCTGTTATGGTGTTAAAGCTTGAGAATGTCACAGAAAAGTCAGCTCTGGCAGAGACGCCTGGTTTAGAACTCCAGTATCCATTCTCCTCTTCCTCCTGCCCATTTAGAATAAAGATTATACTTTATAGCTTCCTTTAAAGTTAGGAGTGGCTACATTATTAAGTTCTGGCCAATGAAATGAGTGATGCTTGGAAGATTCCAGGAAGTCTCCTTATAAAAGAATGATCAGGCCCTTTCTTCCCTTTTTTCCCTCCTGCTTCCTGGAATGAGGAGGTAATGGCTGGAGTCACAGCAGTCCCCAGGATCATGAGGTAACCTTGGGAATGGAAGACATGCCACACTGAGCAACAAGTTAGAAGAAGCCCGGATCCCTGATTCCACTGAGTCTCCATGAGCCCAGGATCATACACCCCAGACCTCTTTTTGTGAGAGAGAAATATACTTCTACCTCATTTAAGCTGCTTTTTCAGGTCATTACTCACAGCCAAACCTAATTCGAATTAATATACAAACTTTATCTTCTTTTGAAAACTTGGAAGATCTTTCATCCTTGGGCCCTTGTCGTCACTCACATACAGTAAGCCAGAGCTGATAAGGTTGTGTTAGCTGAAGTTGGGGGTCTCCAGCTCATGAGGGCCCCCACCACTCACTGTGGCCAGCACACGGCAGCCTTCCCATTTGTTACCTGCTGGAGCCCTGAGACATTTGTGTTTGCAACCCCTGCTCCAAACTGTGTTCCCAATATATTGTTTTCATGTTCTTTTTAGGAGTCATCAAAATATAGAAGGTCCTTTTACCCCATTCCACATTCTGGAAAGTCAATCTCAGGAGAATTTTATGTGCAGGCAAACTACAAACATGATTTAATGGTTAACATTCTATATTCACTTCCCCTTTCACTTACTCCATACGTATTTACCAAGAAGTTTAATGTGTCAGAACGTGGGATGTGGTGAGGAATAAAATAGACTTGTACCCTGCCCTCGTGGAGCTGGTGTTCTAGTGGAGAAAACAGACAATAACGACATAAGGAAAGAAATTATTACGATAATTTAAGGTGGTGATGAATGCTGAAAAATAATGTTAACAGGAGAATGGATTGGAGGGAGGCAGGAATGGAAGCAGGGACCATTTAGGAGGCCACTGCAGCAGCCCTGGGGAGATATAAGGAACAGAATAATGGTTGTGAAGATGGGTAGAAGTGGATGGATGCTGAGTACATTTTGGAAATAGAAACATTAAGATTTGCTCATGGTTGTAGGAAATGAAGAGAAGGGACAAACCAATGTGATTCCTAAGTTTTTTTTTTTTTTTTGATCATCAGGGTTCTTGGTAAGATAGTATAAGACGAAGTGAAAAAACTTGTTTAGGTTTTTTGACAGGGCGGGTGGCTCTCTCAGCTGGGCCATGTTTACCAGCCTGCCTTGCTGTAAGTTCCTAAACTACTTCAGCAATATTTAATTTTCCTTAAATTACTTCAAATTGTTCCTTAAAACCATCCCTGTTGGAAGACCATAAAAGCCAGCATCAGAAGGGATGTATACTTAATTCTCTTGGGAATATGGAACAGTGAAACGGTCCTGACACTATCAGACAATGGATCACCCAGATTGCAACCCAGCAGAGAGCTAAGTCTGGGCACGTATTGCCAGAGCGAGCGTCGCAGTTTTAATTTCTTAACTAGACCTTCTCCAGGTAGGACTTCATGTTAAAAGGAAAAGGGGTAAATAATATTGCCCTTTCTGATCCAAATAGCCGTTTTCATAACATCGCCGTGTGCCAGGGAGCTGGCTGAATCTGTTCGCTTTTTAAATTTTATTATCAGAGAAAGTCTCCCTCTGTTCTAATAGATAAATCAACCATGGGATGGCCTCTGAAACAAGGGGCTGCAGCCAGCCAGCCAGGAAAAGCAGAGAAGACAGGCTTCAGGTGCAGGAGACAAATCCTAACCTGGCATCCAACAGCTTTGTGCCCTGGGGCAAATGGTGGAGCCTCTCAGGGGAAATAATCGCATCTTTCTGAGAGTGTGTTGTGAGGATTAAGTGAGATAACACATGTAGATAACATACTGTGCCACATAATAATAATCACCGCCCTGTGCCAGGTACAGTGCTTGGTGTGTCACACACACGACTTGTAATCAATAAAGCTGTCCCGCCACATGAGCCTTGTTAGCTCCCCTTTACAGATAAAAGGAATGGAGACTAGAAGGTCAAAGGCTATGCAGCTACTAAACGGCAGAGCTGGGATGTGAACCTATGTCTGCCTGTCTGGGAAAACCCCTGCTCTGGCCACTGCACCATGAGTAAGTACCTAGAATGTGTTAATCTTCTTCCTGTCATGATGGATGGCAAGTGACTTCACAGCTCTTTTTAAAGCGTTGGTGTCTCAGCACCACCAAGTTGTCCTTGTTAATGCCAGGATCAATGACAGCACCCTGGATACAAATCTGTGAAATTTCATCATTGTTTCTTTTAAACTTTTTTCTTAACAGCAGCAAAGGCAGTAGCCATCTTTTGGTTGTGCCACGATATTAAAATTCCTCTGAAGGTAATACTAGTAAATTTGGGGGTCTTTCTAAAACGTATTGCAAACCTAAGTATTATAGATCTATCATAGTAATCACTCCTTCCTCTTTGTTCTAGAATAGGAAGATGAAGCCCTGGGCTAGCTGGGTCCCCCAGGAGAAAGGGCAGCACTGTGTCTTATAGAAAGGGATGAAATGGAATAGAATTAGTTTCTAGTGGAAAAAAAAATTTAGCAGGTGGAAAGAATGATGATTGCTTAGCACTGACGGTTTGCAATATGGCTGCACATTGGAATCACCTGGGAAGCTTTAACGACTATTCAGGCCTGTTCCCTCCCCCCAGAGATTCTGATTTAATTGGTCTAGGGTGTAACCTGTATATTAAGACGTTTCAAAACTCCCAAGAAGGTTCAAATGCGCATTTAGGATTTAGAACCAGTGCCTTAGCAGATCACAGACAGAATTAGTGTCTCCAAAACTCTCTGAGAGGGTCTTAAATCAGACTCCCCGGGTTTGGATCCTGGTTTCACCGCTGACTAGGTTTATGACCTTGGGTAAGTCATTTAAGCTCTTCATGTTCCTGTTTGCCTGTTTATAAAATGAAGCTAAGAGTATCTCATGGTGTTACTGACCAGGGTT